CCCGCCGTTGTCAAAATAGTGTCAACCCAAAAATAAATAGATCACCACGTGCTTCTGACATATATTTAGATTCAGTGCCACGTGCGTTTATTGAGTGATGTGACGCAAAGTACGGCACGCCTTTGAATCCATCGTGCGCGTTTTTCCCCCAAACTGGCCATTACCTCCTCATGAAACCCTGCATACCCTCTATGGCAAACGCCTTATGCCATGAGCATGGGCATGCGAAGTGTAGAGGGGTGTGGTCGTTTGCATACCATGCTATAGGGGGGATGTATACCATGCTACGCGGGTGCAAACCAGTTGTATGTTATGTTTCTTCTAAATGAGGACAATTAAAATCGTCTTTGGTCGATTCAACATCAGCTTTGTTGTCGCTAGCGACTTATATGTCACTCGCTAGCATCGTTACAAACGTTATTATTACTCAGTAACTAATGTTGCTTGTTGATGTTGTCTGCTCAGACAACATCAACAAGCAACATTAGCAGACAACATCAACAAGCAACATTAGCAGACAACATCAACAAGCAACATTAACATCAACAAGCAACATTAGGTCTGCTAATGTTGCTTGTTGATGTTGTCTGCTAATGTTGCTTGTTGATGTTGTCTGCTAATGTTGCTTGTTGATGTTGTATATTAATGTTGCTTGTTGATGTTGTATTGCTAATGTTGCTTGTTGATGTTGTCTGCTAATGTTGCTTGTTGATGTTGTATATTAATGTTGCTTGTTGCTCTGGCAGGTGGATAGTCATGCGGCGGATAGCGTTCATCGTCGCGATGCTGTACGCCTTCAGATGCATCACCATGTTTGTCACAATCCTCCCCGTGCCTTCAGAGGAGCTGAAATGCTCACCAAAGGTACGTACATGTGTATAGTAGTGAGCTAGGGTCAGCTTCATGGGTTATATATATCCCTCCCCGTGCCTTCAGAGGAGCTGAAATGCTCACCAAAGGTACGTATATATGTAGAGTAGGAGCTAGGGTCAGCTTCATGGGTTATATATCCCTCCCCGTGCCTTCAGAGGAGCTGAAATGCTCACCAAAGGTACGTATATATGTAGAGTAGGAGCTAGGGTCGTCAGTATGGGTTAATACAATCCTCTCCCCGTGCCTTCAAGCGAGCTCAAATTCGCTAAAAGCTCGTAGCTCATATAACGAGGTATGTGCGTGCGTGCGTGCGTGCGTGCGTGCGTGTGTGTGTGTCGCGAGTGGTAAGCGATGTTAGCTTTCACTGCGACTAACGTAGTGACTAACTAACTTAACGTCACGTCGCGTAAACCAACGACTCGTGCCTGCCGCGTTGATTACTGCTGCTGCTGCTGCTGCTGCTGCTGCTGCTGTTGCTGCTGCTGCTGGTGCTGCTGCTGCTGCTGCTGC